ATAATCCGCTAAGTTTGTCTGTTGGTGTGTGTGTGTGTGTGGATGTATGTTTGTGTGTCTGTATGTGGTTTGTCGGAAATTCATAACTTCCTTCAAAAGAGCGATAGAGCCCTCAAACTGATAAGTAATGTAGGGGGTCGTGCACGAACATTATTGGTCGGTGGCAGGGAGTGATAACAGTTGATAAGATACCATAAGGAGCCTTAGAAGGTAAGGGTCACCAAATTCACAACGCGCGTCACAGCAGCGGTAGAGCGTTGGTTCCAAGAAGTAAGATAGAGGGCAGGATGGGGACATTTTTGGTGGGTGGCAGGAAGTGATAACAGCCGATAAGATACCATAAAGAGCCTTAGAAAGGGATGGTCACTAACACCATAGTGCGCGTCACAGCGACGGTAGAACGTTGTTTTCAAGAAGTAATATATGGGGCAGGATACACATTATTGGTGGGTAGCAGGACCTGATAACAGCCGATAAAGTACCATAGGAGGCCCGCTTCAGGAAGGCCTCGAAATTCAATGCAAGAGTCGGAGCAACAACTGCATCTTATGCCTGCGACTGAACTTGACCACCGTTGCCCAAGAATTAATGGGCAAAACCTTAGTGAGCCGAGATGTTCCTATCCCTTAGATGTAGTCGGAATTGATCCGACCGCTAAACTCTCGAGTACCACCCAGAAGTAAAAGCCTAAAATTGTTTGCCAGTGAGGAATGATAAGAGTCGCCAATAGACCGATATGTGAAAGCTGCTCACGGAAGAATTAGGATGTTAACACTTCACTATGATTTCGATATTGTTACCATTGAAACTCTTTCAACCGCTAGTTGTCTCATTTCCAACGAATGGTGAGTGTTGTGATAAGCACCATACGTTGGCAAATGTTCATTAAAGAGGAGAATTATGATGAAATGGGCCGTGTTTTGAAGCATGGGAAAAAGGCGAAGTTTTAGGGGCCACCACAAAAATTCTACCATTGTTCAGTACCATAGGTTTGAACAATTCGCGCAGTAATGCGCGTAAGCCAAACTGGTAAATAAATAAATAAATATCAGTTAATAGCATGAACTCGTAAGTACGTAGATGACTAAATAATACGTCTCAAACAGATTCGTGCGTATTGTCCTTTCCAAACCCTAAACAAACATCTGCTTGCATGGATAAAAGCACCTGAAATCAGAATTTACACCTTTCCATCCCTCTGCGTAGGAGCGTAATGCACGGCGCACACTCGGACCAAATCGATCAGTGATAGCCGAGCTCCTCTTCACTCATTTGAAGGGAAATATGTGTTTTGAAGGCACACTGAAGTTTACGAAGGTGTAATCACAATCAATCATCCTCTCCTCACAATGGCACAGAAGGGGTCAGAGGGTCGTCGGTGAGGATTGTGGGGCAAAAACATTGTGGGCGGAGCCTGCTCCGAGGTGGGCGGA